ATCCGTTGATGATACCGGATTCTTTTCTAGATTAAAAAATGTGTTTGCAACTTGGCGTAAAGTAAATAAAAGTTTCACCGACGAAATCGTTTATAGTATGATCCCGTCGCCTGATAATCAATATCTATTAACTTTAGATTTTTCTGGAACAGTCAGCCTTTGGAAAATTTCTACGTCCAAAAGTGTTGTAATTGATCAGTCATGGGATCAATCTCACTTAAATTACTTTGCTAGAGGGAAGGAATACAAAAATTTATCTTTTGAGAAATTTCAGGATAAAATTTTTGAAATTGAGAATGATAGCGGTGATGTATCTGGAATCCCCGGATTGGAAAATGGAAAAGTTTTGTCGATAGGATGGTGGGCCAATAATGCTTTGATCCTAGGATTTCAAAATGGTTCGGTTATTATTGCTAGTCTCCCAGATATGCGTAATATATTAGGCGACTCTCCTGAAACTTTTAAATCTTGCTATGAGATCACCTGCCAATGTAATAACTGTTTTTTAGTAATTGAACATGAGGTCAAATCAATCAGAGCTCGTGTTCATGGCGGTAACATAATATCATATTCAAGAGCACAAGAAGAGGATGAAATGGAAGATGATGGATTTGAAGATTCCACGTCACAAATGGGTAGATTGATGTCTGCAATTACAAATTCCTTGCATTATGTAACGGATACATTTTTGTGGCATTTTGAAAATGATTTTTCAACTATACGTGGTAGATTTATCACAATATCAAAAAGGACATTTCAACTTAATCGTATATGTAAAATCTTGCCTCAGGATTTACTCTGTCGCAAAATAAGCGCTCTTGAATATGATGATGCGTTGGTAATTGCCAAAACATATAGCCTTGACACAGATATAATATATCGAGCCCGTTGGGAAGATGCAGAGGTCTCTGAAACAGCTATTCACGATTACCTTGATAAAATTCATGATAAAGAATGGGTGTTAGCTGCTTGTTTCAATAGAATAACCAAAAATCCTCAAATAATCCGACTTTTATTATGCTACGGATTGGACCATACAGATATTCTAGATGAAATTTTAGACAACGATAATGTTTCCGCTACTGATAATTTGATCAAACAGAAATTGCGAGAAAATCCTTTGGAAGTCGATTCAGATGTTCAAAAATTTCTGAATAATATTGAATTGTCAGAAAAACAAAAAACCTTTTGCAAATGCCGGTATTATTTCTTAAAGTATTTAGATAGGTTATGTACATATGAACGAATTGTGGAAGAGAAAACTAGACGAGATATCGAAAATGGGTCCATGGACTCATTGGAAGAAAATGGGGGTTGGATCACATTCATAGACTATAATGCGACATTTGCTGAGGATTATGCAATATTTCGTGATGTACATATCGCCGCTCAAGCAATGGATTTCGCAGCTGATGAGTTCTTCAATGGTTTGAGTGTTCTGTTTACACGTCATGGGGACGAGATGTTGCCTTACCGGTTTACCATTCTTGAACAAATACCTGAGACAGCTGATCCTGATGACTATGAATCTTTTTTACCAAGAGTTGGTTCAAATGATGGTGCCGAACTCTCAGAATGTTTATGGCATCAAGAACCATGGAGAGTTTATGATTGGGTTGAAAATCCTATATTAAAGAAACAAATACTACAAGAAGAGCCAGAGGAATGGGACTTTGATGGGATTTTAATGAAATCAGTTCCATATCCTGCTTCCTCTTCTTACATAACTCAATGGTATATTGATCGAGCACACAAAATTGACAATTCTTCGGGACAAGTGGATAAAGCTTTATCTCTCGTCAGTTACGGTATCAAAAAAAATGTAAAGAATTTAGAAACTTTGGAAGAAGACCTTCATATGTTATCACAACTTGTTTATGAGTGTTATCCGTCATCAAATGACAAAATAATCATGACATTGAATGAATTTGAAGCTCTAACGGAAGAAGAAATCATCCAAACTTTCTTACGACATACTGACGAAACGCGGATTGTGAATGATATCAGGCTTTACATAATACCGTTTCTTAAACTGCTACCTGAACGCCGTGCTCGAAAAGCAGAACTCATAGATAAAAATGATAAATATTTACATCCAATGGACTTATTATACAAATATATATTAGATCTTTCATCGTCTCATTTGGATTGGTGTTGTCTTCTTTTTGAAGCTTCTAAGCCAACTATAACATCTGAGGAGCTCGTTATAACGTCTGACGAAGATTTAGCCAACGTAGCACTTTCTTGCCTTTACGGAAATACAAACACCAATGATCTAAATATTCAAACACGCATTTTTGAATGTCTTCCAACTCTTGACTCGGATTCTTCGGAAATCAAT